TGAGCTGTTCACCTTGCATCCAAGCATAGCTTCTGTGTTGTGGAGAGAAGTAATTGCTCAGGAAAGACCAGAATTATTTAAGGGTCCCACTGGCATATGGAAGAACACAGTGAAGTTTAGTCCTGGGGAAGAGTCATTAGATGCTCACTTCCTGTGTTTGTAGATTTGAGAAGTTCTGCCTTTAAAAGCATTTAGGCCCAGTTAGAAAAATGCAATGTGATGTTACAAGACTTTTCTGTCCTTTTTGCTGCAGCATATTATATTAAATTTTATTTGATGATTTGGAAGAGGAAGGGAATATTGTTTTTGGTTTTCTTATAAATAATGATTTAGTGGAATTTTCATAGGATCTTGTGGGTGTAGGTTGGAAGGGAAACTTGAAAGATAATCTATTTCAACCCCTTCTCTGTGGGCAGGGACATCTTTCAGTAGATCAGGTTTTTTATGTTTTCCAGGTATTGCAGAATTATGAATTGTTTCCTGAAGTCACTGATATATTTTTTATTCAATCATCCACTGTTTGGCCTTATGTTTTATTTTTTTTCACATCATCATGAAAGTGAGTAGTAAATTAAAATAGCCAAAGCTGCTTTTGACAGCCAGTGGAGTTTACATGCACATATCAATGTTAGACAGGTTCAGACAGCTACTTTAACATCAGAAATTCTTATTAACACGGAATGGTTTAATTTAGTGAGGGCTTCTGTGAGATTGCCTGGAATTAATATTAAGCTCATTGTTGAGAAGCTACTAGTATTTTTCCCTATTACTGACCCTTCTGTTAGAGAAGAATATAAACATTTAGTTCCTGTATTTCATGAACTTTTCTTGCCTATTTTTCCTTTGGTTCATTTGGGTTGGTAAACAGTACAAACTGCTTGCTGGGAAAGCCAAGCTCCATGTTGACCACAGAGGGTGACTGCTGTCAGAGTGGCCATGGAGTCTGCTCCTCATGTAGTAGGAGGGTGTTACAAAACTTATCAAGTTTGGTCTTTTCTCTTGGAAAACATTTCAGCATGTTTGCCATCAGCAAAATGCTTTTGATAGGGGCAGATCTGTCTTTGCCAGTGATGTGTTTACTTGGAAGTTGCTATTTTTGGCCATTTAGCTCTGAGCCTTTTGTAATAGCAGAAAGCGGAAGTGAACAGTGAAATCCCTTTAATAGCATATTTCCTGGTTGAAGTGACTTATCTGTGAGGCCTAGACAGAGGAGACGTCATTTCCTGGATTACTTCTCTTCAATCCCAACTGTCTGTTTTACTGCATGATCTTTCTACCCAGCTTCTTCATTGTAGTGAATTTTTCTGTTAAGTGATATAAACCAGGTCTTTCAATGAAAATGTAAAGCTTTAAGGAAAAAACTTTTGACAAAATACTAGTGTGTAGGACAAGTTTTTCACAAATTACATATTGATATGAACTTGAAATCTCTTACATTAAAATTTTGTTTAAAAGCTTAAAATCTTGTCTTTGAAAGAGTATGATAATAAGATTTGTTCACAGGGCTAAAAAAAATTTGACACACTTTCTGTTCCTTGTGATGATGATACTGATCGTGTCTCTGACACCAGCTGTATCTGGCTGTGTTCTAGAGTTACGACACTAGCAAAGAGCTAAAATAGTCAGATGTGCAGTTCTCAAATTTCTTTTCATTAGTAACTACTTGTGAAAATTGTTACCTGGAGTCCATGAAAAAGAGAAAAAAAGAGCTACTTAAAAATTAGCTGCAAATATGATTCTCCATTTATATAGCCCACAAAACAGCCATGGAATCAGAATCAGGGGAAAAAGGTGACATCTGAAATTATAATATACAGTTCAGTTTAAATTGGAATTTATGATTGTTTTGGACCTTGAAATCCAACTTCACTGAAATTTTTGTTTGGGTGACTATTTTTTCCCTTGATGTTTTGCATAAGATAGAAGTAAAGCACACTATATATATATGTTTCTTGGTCAACCACAAAAATATCTTCACATGAAAAGCATTAAGACATCAGGTGACCTCACCTCTTCCCCTCCAAAATAGGAAGAACAAAAATATGCCTTGCTTATTTTTATTAGCACAGACTGCTTTTACATCTCCCTTAAAATGTCTACCCAGTTGTTGGTGATCATGAGAGTATTTTCTCAGTAGCAGTGAAAGAAGAATGTTGGCGTTCAGTGTAGACTGCCATCTAATTGAAATTAATACTTCATTGAGCTAGGTAAAATCCTAAAAGGTGGCCCAGCTCTTCCTATCAGGGCATTCAGTATGGTCCTTCTCTACATGTCGCAGGGTGAGGATCCATATTTCTGCAGATGCGCTGTGCAGCGGAATGAGATCCCTTTTTGAAGGTGGTGTTTGCCAAATCTAGAGTAGTATGGATTCTATAATGCTATTTTGCAGGAACTCATCTCAAATTAGTAGTTTCTGTTGTATTTGTCCAGATTATTGACCATTACCTGTGGAATTCTGTAGTGACTAATCCATAAGTATATAACAATTTTGTTACTTTGGTTTGGTTTGATTGTATCATCTGTAAAATTGTAGCATAAATTAGGAAGAGGTAGTAAGTCTTCTGTCCCTCTGAAAGATGAGTATGATGTCCTGGTGCATCGCTCCTTTCTCCTTAATTTCTCTCTCCACCTTAGGAGAAAGACTAAAATAATCCCTATATTTACTGTTAGTAAAGCAACTACTGTGCCTTCTTGACTGACTTTCTGTCTGCTTATTTACACTGTCTTACACTTCCTTCTGGTAGGAAGTTCTAAAACTTGATGTGTAAGACCATCATAACAGTTAAGGTTACATAGAGTCAGGAGTAAAATTCCACCTTTTTTCTGTGCAGCTGTGGAAATCTTACAGGTGTTACAGAATGTTTGAGGTTGGCAATGACCTCTTGATATTGTCTAGTCCAACACCCTGGGCACTGCAGGGTCAACCAAAGTAGGTTGTCCAGGACCATGTCCCATCAGATTTTGAGTATCTCCTCACTCATTTGAAGATTGACACACACTATTTGGTGGAGACTCTACAGGCTCTGTGGGCATTTTGTTCCAGTACTTGACCACTTTCACAGGATAAAAATGTGGTGTTCAAATAGAATTTTGTGTGTTTTACCTTATGTCCATTGTCTTCTGTTCTGTCAGTGATCGGTGCCTTTTCTTCAGTTCTTCCCAGCAGTTACTTAGAGACATTGATGAGCTCCCCTGCCTGACCCGAGTCTTTTCTTCTCAGGCTGCAGAGTCACAGGTCTTTGAGCCTTTTCTCCTTGGAGAAATGCATTAGTGCCTTAATCTTACTGGCCCTTTGCAGGACTCACTCCAGTAGATCCCTGCCCTTGATGCTTTGGGAGACCAGGAGTGAACACTGCACTCCAGGTGGGATCTCATCAGTGCTGAGTAGAGAGGAACCTGTTGTTCACCAGGACCCTCAGGTGCTTCTTTGCAAAGCTGCTCTTCTGCTTCTCAGGCCACAGCCTGTACCTGGTACCTGGGGATTTTCCTCTCCAGCAGCAGGACTTGGCTTTTCCTCTCTTTGTGGAAACCTTCTCTGCCCAGAGAAATGCCAGTGCAGGGGTGCAGTGCTGGTGACTGGCTCCAACTGGACTTTGTGCCACTGATCAGTCTTCTGGGTCAAGTCTTTCAACCAGCTTTTAATCCTTTGTTTAACCCGTACTCCATCAGCGTGTCTGTGACACTTTCCAAGACACTTTCATTTGTTAGGAAGTAATAAATAAATAAAATACCTTAATTTTTAAAATGGTCTTAACTGTTACTGTGGTTCATGGTGTAAACTGATACTGCCACAGATGAGTTGGTCTTATATTTGTATAAGCTTATTTAGGACAAAGCGGCATTCAAAATGTATTTAATAATCTTAGGTTTTGCCTCTGAGTCTCTCCAGACATATTAGTAAAATGAATATAATAATTTTAGTAATATTTGCAATAAATTATACCTTCCCAGACATATTAATAAAAAATAAAAAATCAGCAGGTTGTTAGCCTTAGTTATTAAGAAGACTGAAAAGCTATCTAATTCTGTTGGCTCCTATTAATAATACATGATGTGGTCTCTGACTTAAGTCTCTGTGATGCCCTGTCAAGTCCCAAAAACCTGAAAAAGCAGTCTCAGGATTTTGTTCTTAGGGCAATGAATAAAGCTTCCAGTGGAGGCTGAACACTGCAGCTGCTGACAGTGAATAGTGTCTCAGACTCCTCTTAGTATCTGAAACTAATTTTTAGTTTTATTTGTCCCTGTGTAACTGAAAAGGTCTCAGTGTTTGAAGAGTAATTTTCTGAAGTTTTTCCAGGTTGCAGAAAGGTGGAATTGAATAAAGTCTTGTAACAGGCATTTAAAATACTATTTTTGGTTTAGATTTGGTGATCTCATCCCTTGCCATTTTAAGAGTCTCTATTGTTTTCTGCTGAGGCACTGATAATGGGTAGCAGAACAGCATGTAGAGTTCTGGCTCCTCTTCTGTTGAGTCACTTAGAAAAGGTATTCTTGTCTTGTGAGCCTGAATTACATGGTGAATTGTCTTAAGTTTAGGTCACATCTTGCTTCCAAGAAAAATGTGTGGTTGGTTTTTGAAGGTCCAGAATGAGGAGGCAGAGACTTTGATCAAAGCAATAATATGACTATACAAACAAAGGCTTTGCAGGAAAAGTGTAACAGAAGTAAGAAAAATGGATTGACTAAATGCAGTATCTTAAATCAGTGTTTAATGAGTAAGATTACTTACTGATTAAGATTAAAACTACTACTCCAGTTTAAGTCCCAGTGCCACTAATCAGTCGTAATATAGCTGTCCTGTTTATAGAACTTGGAGCCAGTCAGTGTGCATTGGCTCCTCTGCTGGTTTATAAACATACTTGAGAGCTTGTTTGATTTGCTTGCTAGGAATGTAATGCATGCTTGAATAATATATAATCAATCTCAGTGCAGTAATTTTTGGAAATATGTTTATTAAGATTTTCAAACTGAATTAACTTTTTTTTTTTTTTGTTTTTCAGGATGGCTTGAATTCTTTGGTCCTTGATCTGGATTATCCAGCACTGAGGAAGAACAAGAACATTGATAATTTTTTAAACAGATGTAAGTTGCAAGTGGCCCTTAAACAATGACATTGTTGTGATCTCAATCATAAGAAGTTGAGTGGTCAGAAATACATTGCCCATGGTTATTCTACTAATTTTTGTAACTCTGAGCTTCAGGTGGCTTTAGAGGGTCATTTATTACAGAGAGAAATTTCATTTTAGGGAGTCGTTATATTGTGAAAATATGTTGGAAAAATATTTTTATTTTCCTAAATACACTTGGAAAAATCCTTTTATGTTATTATTTTACGTATGTGTAGCTACATAACTTGGTAAGTATATCCTACTTATTCTTCAGGAATTCATTACACTGAATATCAACATTGTTTATATAGTCGTATTTAATCTAACAGAGAAGCCTTCTGTGAGTTGTTAAATCTAAATAGTTGTACCTTAAAATCTGTTGGTTAATTTTTTAACCTTTGCATAAATGTTTGTGATTCTCCCCAAATTAATTGTAGATGGGATCTTGGAGTTTATTAAGCATATGAGTCTACATCAGAGTAGCTGTGTTTTGTGGTTTTGAAGTGTTTTCTATTCATGTATATAAGCAGAATTTTTTTTCTTCTAAAAATAGCAAATCCTTTGTTTTAAAATGTAATTTGCAGTAAGTCTTCTTGGAATAATTATGCTTTGTAGTGAGCTTATTTCAAGATATATATTTTTTTAATGAAACCTTTTCTCTTGCATATGTTGAGGTTAGATTACTCCAGATACAGTCTTATCAGCAGCTCCTTTTAGATTCTTTACTGGTAAGAGATGTATGTGTCTGCCTTCTGTTGCCCTGGGACTCCTTGGAATATGCACTCACTCTTCACTTAAATAGTGGCTGGTGTAGTAATTTGTGGTGAGTTCTTTGTTTGGAATTCAGTGCTTCTCCATGAGGTTTAGCAGAACCCATAGATGGACAAACAACTTTTACAGTTGCCAATAAAGTCTCATTTGGAGAAATCATTTAAAATATAGTAAATAAGAAAGAGCCAATTAGGATATAGAGGCATACCTTGGGATTATATTCAGTTTGAGTTCAAAGGAATTCAAGCAGATACTTATAAAAGAAAGGGTCCGTAATAGCATCTGAAATACTTCTCTTATTTGCAACTGAGCATTTCATGTGTAAAGTGAGGGGACAGCCCTCTGAAAATTATATAAATAACATTTATCAGCATCTTCTATAAGTTGGTCATATTTGCTATGACATTACTATTTTTGCACTAAAACAAAATTAGAAGCTTCTCTGTGAGCAGAAGACCAGTGTCTTTTGACTATTAGAAATAGTAACTGTGGGAAAACAATTTAACCTCAGGAACAGGTTGGAGATTTGTTTGTTATTTGATTGGCTGGTTTTTGTTTGTTTACTTGTTTGTTTTCTGCAGCCCCTGAATATTCTAACTGACTGCCTCCCTTTTTCTGAAGGCTGTTGCTCCTTCTCCTCCTCTAGGTTCTCTCTCATTGTTCTAGTAAATATTTTTAAGTATCTTAGGTGACCTGGAGGCTGCCAGAAATGTCAGAAACATGAAAATATACTTTTGTTCACAATTTTGTTACTTCCTTTTTATTTTTAAATCAGCTGACAGTATACAGTTGAAATAGCCAGATACTAGTTAAAAGAATTTTGAGATGTGTTACAAAAAAATTCACAGTAGTTAATAAAGAGTTTTCAAGGGTGCACTTCATCCTTACCTATTGAACTTTAAAAAAGCATGCAACATCTGACTATTTTGACCAGCATTCTGTGTGACAGTTCATCTTTCATATGAATCATGCATGTAACTTCTCTCCTGTTTCTGTACTGACTGGGAGAGAATAAAAATATTGCTGCATATCTTCTGTGACTTAAACTTTGGGGAAAAAATAAATTGCAAAATGAGAATTTTGTAAACATTTGAGGCTGGTAATATTTTAATATTGCAGAAGAAAGAATCAATCCTGCCACAGTGATTAATTTCAAAGTCTTTTCTGACCCAGGTGGTTGTATGGTTTGTTATGTGCCACACAGGGGAACTGAGCAGAATTAATGAAGAGAGTCGCGTGGTTTGTTTTTTCTTTTTATTAAAACTAGTCAGGCAAAAGAAAAGCAAAGACTAGTTTCTGATTTTCATTTCACTTCACTGATACTTGTGATAGCACTTAGGTACAGGAAGAAACAGGACGACTGGTTTCTTATTGACATTGCCATCTTATGCAGTTTTAAATTGCTAAACCCATAACTCAGGTCTTCTTGGAAACTGTTCTGAGGGTAGCAAGTATCACTGGAAAGAGTGTGGCACGTGCTTGCTGAAGCCTCTTGCCACCTTGGGCTTGGAAGAAAAGTTGGGAACTGTGTTGAGCATTTATGGAACTGTAAGTTGTTGCTTTCTTAGGGTAAGGAACAGTGAGTTCTTGTCTCTTGTGATTTTTCTCAGTATCTGAAGAACTGTTGGCAATGCCCAGCTGAGAACGGCTGTCAAAAGGTTGTGACAAACTGATGAACAGTCTGTGCCTGGGGCCTGGAGCCTGCAACCCTCCCCAAGGCAAGCACAGAGAGGTGGCAGGGCTTCCTGTGAGTTACCCTGTGCTGCACAGTGAGGCAGCTAAAGCAGAGTCACTGCCTGTGTTTTCATCCATACTACAAAAGTCTGCAGAAATTGTGGAGAACACTAAATAATCATCACACTTTCAGTCATTTTAATCACTTCTTCCACAATAACACTTGGAGAAAGGAATTTTTTTCCCCCCACCACATTCTCAGGGGTTTGCATACACCCTACTTCCAACCTACATCAAGTCATTACTATTCAGGTTAATGTTTTATTGATAGCTTATTTTAATTTAAAAATGAAATAGCTTGCACTTCAGCTGAGATATTAATTTGTTCCGTTCAACTCATAATTGCAAGATGAAACTCAAATGTTTCAGCTGTTTCACAATGGCAATTTATTAATTGTCCATACCATAGGAGTTTGATGCATTCTGTTTCTGTGACCACTTTGCAGAAGCAGCCTCTTCACTTGTTTAATATGAAAGAAATTCTTTAATTGCCTGCTTTGCCTTACTATTCTGATTTCTTAGCATTTTCTCTAAGGTATTGAACCAAGGTGGAGCCTGTTTGTTATAAGAAAAGAAGCACATTAAATATCTCACATAATACAAGCGTTGTTTTTCAGTCTTCTCATTCCTTTTCTATTGCTTTAATCAGCTGTTGGGATTCTGATTTAAATTGCTGTGCTTTTTAGAGTATTCATGGAACAGAAGAGCGTAATGCATTATTTAATTCCCAAAACAGTGAGAGGCATCTCGTAGTCCTATGAGAGCAAAAACAAATTTGCTTATTTTAGAAAAGAAAGCTGAGTTTTTCAGCGTAGGCTTGGTGTCTTTCTTGGTCTTGTCCTCTTCTGTCATCCAGGCAAAGACAATAGGTTGAGTAAATTCTTCCAAGTCAATTTTTCTGCCATCTAAGATTTGCCAAGTGTTGAATAATGTCTTAGAGGCTTGTGCCTTTTTTGGTGGTCTCCCATGCAGATACAACTTAGTCTTAAATAGTTAAATAATGAGTTTAAGCAATAGTTTAAAACATTTAAATCATTAATATCATATATCATATATCATTTCTCATGAATAGAAGGGCATGAAAAATGGATTTTGAGTAAGCGCAAACAGCAGCACAGAGAATGGTGCCATCAACAGGCCTGGTACAACTCAGAAGTCTTGACTCCCTAAATGAATCAGTGGTTTTCTATGCATTATTCAGCATCATTCAAGAGTTGGAAATTTGTGTTGTTAAAATTATTTGCTGATATTATCTAGGTTGGCAGACTTGTAGAGTGTAGTGACAGTGGATGTGTTTAAGTGGAAGTGACTTCTAGTAGAGATGTGGCACCTGTGCACCAGTTTTTCTAGACTCCCTGAAAAGTTCCTTTGGCCATTTTCCTCTCCAAGCAGACACTGCTTACTTAGAGGATGTATCTGTTAAGATTAATTTCTTGCAAAATCAACAATTCTGGTTCCCTCCCTTGCATTTTGTTATGTAATTTGAAGTTGCTGAATCCTGTCCAGCCATGTGGTTACCAACAGAAACGCGTTATCCGGTGTGGTGTGAGTGCCTCCCAGGGCCGCAGCTCTGTGTGTTCTCAGCTTCCTGTCAGCAGCACTCATGAAATGTCAGATGCCAAAAAGAATCTTAGAAATTTAGTGCACTGTAGAACTTCCACTGAGTTAAGGAGCTAATTGCTCCTCTGGTTTTCTCTTGGCTTCTCTAAGGCAGCTCCCTTGCCAGGTCTTCGCAGTCGCCTCAGCACATTGGACTCCAGTTCCGTTCTTAATGATATTGTTCTGGTAGGAGTAGTGATGGGAGAAGTATCAAATAACCAACTTTCCCAAACAGAGCGTGGAAGCCACAGTGTGTAACACAGAATGTCTTAGATGTATAAACAAATTATATGTCAGTGTCATTAACCACATTCCCATTTGGGTACTTGGTAGATACAAAGCAATTCAGCCCTGCCATCAGGCTTATTTTCATTACATTAGGGATGTGTTCTCTGTAAGCCAGAGGGCTGCTGCTTTCTGTTCCCATGTTCTGCTCTTTTCTGTGCAAGAGAGCATACTTCTCATGTTCTCCTTTTATTTCTTTGAGGGAGGAAGCATTACCATGTCTGGAGCTGTGCCTTCTAGTTCCTCCTGGTTCTGCAAGGTCTCCAGCAGCTTCTTCTTCACACACCTCTGACCAGACACTATGGATGCACCCCTAATTACTTCAATCTTTCTGTTGTGCTTCCTCTTTGGTTTTGTTCAGCTGTGGTATTGCAGCACTTCCTGGCTGTATTTCAGTTTACCTTCTGGCTGGACTTCTGCCTAGGACAGCAACTTTTGACTTAATGTACTCCATAGCAGCACTCATTGACTAACTGTGTCTGATCTGTGGGGTAAAATTGCACTCCCTTGCAATTTTATTTGTCACATATACAGTCCCCAGAACTGCTTGACGCACTTCTTTTTTTTAAAGAAAATAACCTGCAT